CTTAAACTTTTGCGACCTGTAACTCTTCAAACAAGGTTGGTAATTTCTCCCAGGGGCTAAGATCGAATTCCCAAGTGTTTTTGGCCTTCTGCCAGGGCTCGTCAGCCCCCTGCCAGGGGCCCAAACCATCCAGGTCACCCGGAGGGATGTCCTGGTTCCGACACCTGAGCACAGCCCAGGCTGGGCTGTGACCCTGGGCTCATTTGCCCTCTCCAGCGAGCAGCTCCCACCGAGGCAGGCTGGGCACTGGAGCACGGCCCCATTTCCCAGTTCTCCTCGATTTAGCAGCCAGCTTTCACCCCAGCCCTGGAATTGCTGCTGAAACACAGCTCTGCTCTCCAGGCAATGATTTCCACATGCCTGCATGTGCCTGGGGGGAGCAGCCAGGCCAGGGCAGCAGCAGCAGCAGGAGGAGGAGGAGGAGGAGGAGGAGGAGGCATTGAACACATTTTCCTTTCCATGACTCGCTGCCCACGCTGCTATCGAGTGGCAGGGCAGTGGGGAAGGGATGCAGTGACTGTGAAATGTTCCCTGCAGAGCCCCGGAGCTCTCCTCGGGAGCTGCACACATGCAAGGCCATGTGAGCTGAGCGCTGGGGGAAACAGAGCTGCTGAGGGCTCTGCATCCTCAGAGGGCTCTGCATCCTCACTGAGAGCCCTGCAGCAGGAAAACAGGTGAGTGTGACCCCCCAGAGCTGCCCTGCGCTCCCTGCAGGAGCCAGACTCATTCCTGTTGCTGTTTCTCCACAGCCTCAGTCTGAGCTGTCAGGTTTAATCGACTTTCTGCCTTTCCTGACCATTGCCAGGGCTCCTCTGGGCTGCACATCCAAGCTCTGGAGCTCTCCCAAGGGACACAGTGGTGCCTGCTGGGTAGAGCTGGCTTTGGAGCTCGGATCTTCCTTGACTGGTTCTTGCTGGGCCGGGCGTGTCGCTGCTGGGTGTGTTTGATCTCCCCTGCAGCCTGGGCACAGTGCAGGTGAGCTCCTGTGTGTGCTGTGGGACGAGTCCCCCACTCTGGGGACAGGTATTCCACGAACGCCAGCAGCTGGCACCCAAAACTGGGTGTTCTTACACCAAAAATTCAGTGGTTTTACACCAAAGGAAGCTTGGCATGGCTGTAGCAGGGCTGCTTCCTCCTGCTGTGACACATTTGGACACTGCTGTCACCTCTGCTCAGCCTGAGCTGCTCTGCTCTGCTCCTAAGGCGGGTTTGCCAGGCTGTCCCTGCTCCCCAGGCTGCCCTGCGCTCTGTCCCTGCTCCCCAGGTGGCTTTGTCAGGCTGTCCTTTCTCCTAAGGTGGCTTTGCCAGGCTGTTCCTGCTCCTAAGGTGGCTTTGCCAGGCTGTCCCTGCTCCCCAGGTGGCTTTTCCAGGCTGTCCCTGCTCCTAAGGTGGCTTTTCCAGGCTGTTCCTGCTCCTAAGGTGGCTTTGCCTGGCTGTCCCTGCTCCTAAGGTGGCTTTTCCAGGCTGTTCCCGTTCCTAAGGTGGCTTTTCCAGGCTGTTCCTTTTCCTAAGGTGGCTTTGCCAGGCTGTCCCTGCTCCCCAGGCCACCCTGGGCTCTGTCCCCCCTGTCCCCAGCACTGGCTGCAGTGTCCCCAGCAGGGCCTCTCCACATGAGGGACAAGCAGAGGATTTCATGTGCCTGGCCAGGAGCCAGCCTGGGGCAGGCACAGTTTCACAGGGCAGGGCTCCAGCTCTGTGCCAGCCCCTCGGAATTCCCAAATTCCCATCCTCAAACTGCTTGGGACAGGGACAAGGGGCACCCAGTGACCTGAGGCCGAGGCTGGGGCTGCTGTGCTGGTTCCTCACCTTCCTATTGTCCCTCTCACGGCCCTGCAGTGGGGTTTGCTGTCAGGGAAGGTTCTGGAGAAGAGAAGCCCAGGGAAATCCCTCAGGGTGTGACTGGAATGCTGCTCAGGATGCTGCAGCATTCCCTGCTGCTCCTGGCGGCTCCTCCTGCCGCAGCCTGCGGAGCACAGGAGCCCTTTTCCCTGGATTTGGGAAGCAGCAGCTCCTGGTGGGTGGGGGAAGAAACAGGATTGCTCCCACCAGACGGAAATCCCAGGACTGAGGCCAGAGCTGCCACTCGGGGTGTTGTGCATCCCATTGCTGCCTGGACACGGCTCCCAGCCAGCCCAGCCCCTTGGGATGTCACCACCCAGGTGGCTGCCAGCCCCCAGCCCCCTCCCCTCCTCTGGATGTCACCACCCAGGTGTCTGCCACCCCCCTGCAGCCCCCTCCCCTCCTCTGGATGTCACCACCCAGGTGTCTGCCACCCCCCTGCAGCCCCCTCCCGTCCTCACGTCCCCTCCTCCCGCAGCCTGGCCGAGGAGCTGCAGGCAGGAGGTGACAGGGGACACCCGGTGTGAGGAAACACATCCCTAAAAAAATTCAGCTTACATCAAAAGGGCTGAGGGCTGAGACCCAGCGCTCCTCTGGCTGCCCTGGGCAGGGACAGACTGGGAGCTGTGAGACCATTCCGGGTGTGGAATACACCGGGAGGAGGAGGAGGAGGAGGAGGAAGAGAAGGATTTGAAGTCTCCCCCAGCACGAGCTGAGGTGAACACGGCCATGACACAAAGTGTTAGAGTTTCCCAGCCAGACCCATTTTTTGGGAACGCTCCCGACTACAACCAGCCCATCTTCACCCTTCATTTCCCCCACATCCCCCTGAGGGTCTGCGATCACCAAAAAAAAAGAGAAAAAAACAACGGCAGAACGCAAAGTAATTCTAAAAAAAACTCCCAAAAACCTCCAGTATTTTTGTCTGCCCTCTGCTCAACCATTCCGCTGGCACGTTCGGAAAATGCCCCGAGGCTCTGCTGAGCGAATTCACTCGGGGATCACAGCGGCGCCTCAGGTGGGCACCGAGTTCAACCCCGGCGACCTCAGCGCACGCAGAAGCGTCAAGGGACACTTTGCTTTGGGCTGGTGCGGGTGGAACGAAGCCAGCCCCATCAGCAGCCTCGCTGTCCCCCTCTGCCGTGCCCCCCGTGCCGGGACCATCCATCACAGCCGATCCCTCCGCTGCTCTCCGGCTCAGTCCCCGCCGCCTGCAGCAGCTGGGCTCTCCCTGTGCTCATCCTCCTCCCGAGCCGGCGCTGTCAGGCACCCGCAGCAATCCCTGGCATGCCGAGGGCTGTAATTTGTGTTTATGAGGAATGTTCTGCACCAGCGAGCAGCTGGTGTGACACAAGGGCCGAGCTCATGGCTCTGTCCCCTAATTGTTGTCACATTCCTGCCCTTTGCTCGGTGCTTTCTTTTTCTTCGTGGTTTCTCTGAAGTTCCAGTTTGGGGCCTTCAGCTTAATTTGCTGGAGCTTTTCCTGGGAATCTCTTTTCCTTTCGGTTTCAAACTGGATTCAAGGCTCCAGGTGGTCTCGGAGCTGTGGCAGCAGTTGTTGGGAATGGCCCAGAAGTGCCTGAGACATCTCCCCCAGGGTGACATCTCCCCTCTAAACGGAGGAGACGGGTGAATGTGGAAGTCAGAGCCATGGCAGAGCCTGGGATGTGGGAACCCCCCCAAAATGCCCATTTGTGCAGGCAGCAGCAGGAAGGGAGCGGGATGGGCACTCACAGGGCACTGACTGAGCACCCACATGACCGGGTACTCATTGACCAGGGGTGAGCGGAGGGCAGGCGGCCACAGGAGCCAGCCTGGATGTCACACACAGCCTGGATGTCACACACAGCTCTGCTTGTCACACACAGCCCTGCATGTCACACACAGCTCTGCTTGTCACACACAGTGTGGATGTCACACATAGCCCTGGATGTCACACACAACCCTGCATGTCACACACAGCCCTGGATGTCACACCACAGCCTGGATGTCACACACAGCCCTGCATGTCACACACAGCCCTGCATGTCACACACAGCTCTGCACGTCACACCATAACTGTGCATGTCACACACAGCCCTGGATGTCACACACAGCCTGCATGTCACACACAGCCTGGATGTCACACACACCCTGCACACCACATCACCCCTGGCCCCACCTTTGCTGCTCCTCCCTGAGCCCTGCAGAGCCAAGGATGCCAACCCCCATCAGCTGCAGGTGACAGACAGGCTGTTCACCCTGTGTCACCAAGGATGGCCTCTCACCCCTGCTGCAAAGCCACCATGTCCCTCTGGGTCACTGTGCCTCAGTTTTGAACCCCCCACCTGCTCCCAGAGGGGCAGCCCAGTCCAGAGCCCGCTGGTTCAGCTCCTGCTCCCACTGAAGAGCTGCTGCTGAAGGTTTTACCCCACTCCCAGGGCACCCAAACATTGCTGAGGGCCTCAGGGGTGCTGCCCTGGGACAGGCTGAGGTGGCCAGAGGAGATGGATCCTTCTAGAACATCCCTTCCCTCCAGGGGGCTCGGATTTGGTGCTCCTGGTGCACCATCTGGGAAGCACTTCCCCATTCCTCGAGGTGTCTCCCAGCCAGCCTGGTGGTTCTGAGATAAGAAATGAGAGTCAGCAAGTCCAGCGAGACTCCCATGCACCAAAGGAGCAAGGGGGAAAGGAGTTCTGGCAGCAGGAGAACTGAGCAAGCCCAAATTTGTGTCTCCTGGACAGTTTTTGCTTTTTTTGTGGAGTATCCACATCTGGAAAGAAGATCCTAAATTTAGGATTTTCCACCACAGAACTTGCGTCCCCTTCTGTCCTCCTCGCCAGCCCTGCTGTGCCCTCCGTGCTCCCACACTCTGTGGAGATGGATTTTGTGCCTTCCCTGCCTCGGTTTCCCCCTGCCCTTCCCCACCACCTTAAACCTCCTGCACACCCCCCAGATTTCGGCACTAATTACAACAACTCTGCTGACAGACAGGGCGGTGTGCGGAGGGAAGGCGAGGATTAATATAGCCGAGGATATAAGAAATTAATTACTTTCAGGCAGACAATGTTGGCACCTCCAGTCAGCCTGATTTATTTCCACGGCTGCTCTATTTTTGGCCAACCCAGAATGTTTGACTAAATATAAGACAACAAGGAGCTGGAATGGGTGGAGGAGCCGCTGCTAAATCCACAACCCCGAGAGGCTGAAACCCCCACGGCTGCCGGTCCCGGTGTCTCGGGCTCGAGGAGGAGCAGGAGGAGCCGCAGGAGGGAGCTCCCCTGACTGGCGTGCGAGGCGGGGATCGCCGTGCGTGTGTTTGTGTGTTTGTGCTCTCCGTGCGCGGCTCTGCCCGGGCCAGCGGGGCCGAGCGGGCTCCCGATCCCGGGGCTGCGGCGGGGAGGAGCCAGCGCCGCACGGAGCCGAGCGCCGGCAGCGCTCCCGCACCGCGCCGGGTCCCGCACCGCGCCCGCACCGCCCCCGGCACCGCTCCGACTGCCCCTGCTCCGCTACCGGCACCGGCACCGCTCCAATTCCCCCGGTACCGGCACCGGCACCGCTCCAATTCCCTCGCTACCGGCACCGGCACCGCTCCAATTTCCCCGGCACCGCTCCAACTGCCCCCTGCTCGGCACCGGCACCGCTCCCCCTCCCCCGGCACCGGGACCGCTCCAACCGTTTTCCTGCTCCGACACCAGCACCGGCTCCTCTCGCGTGCTCCGGCACCGCTCCAACCCTCTCCTGCTCCGGTACCGGCTCCGGCATCCGCCCCGCTCCGGTGCCGGCACCGCTCCAGCCGCTCTCCGGTGCCGGTCCCGCTCCGGTGCCGGCCCCGCTCCGCTCGCAGCCCGGCCCCGTTCCCGGAGCGGCCCCTGCTCAGCCCGCAGCACCGCCCCTGCTCTGCCCCGCAGGAAGGAGGAAGGGACACGGCAGGAGGGAAATAGACCTGCTCGGCGGCCGGTGAGTGCCGGGGTGACCCCGCCGCGGGCCGGGGACCCTGCCGGTTCCCCAGCCCCTCTGGGGACCCTGCCCGCTCTCCCAGCCCCTCCGGGAGCCCTGCCCGTCCCCCCAGCCCCTCTGGGGACCCTGCCCGCTCCCCCAGCCCTTCTGGGGTCCCTTCCCGTCCCCCCAGCCCCTCCGGGAGCCCTGCCCGCTCCCCCAGCCCCTCTGGGGACCACCACCGCTGCCTTTGGGGCTGGCGGGGCACAAAGTGCGAGGGGAGGGGAGAGTTGGAGTTGGAGGGACGGAGAGGGAGGGTTCAGCTCGGTACGGTTTGTGGCTTGGTGCTCCCTGGTGAGGGAGATTCCTGCGCGTGTTTGGTCCTAAATCTGTTTCAGGGAGCTCAGGTCAAGCCCAGTATTGGATTTTGATGGGCATCCCTGGGTGGGTCCCGCTGTGAGGGGTCTGGGGGGATTCTTTCAGTGTGGAAGTGCCCGGGGGTGATACCCAGGGTCTGTCCGGTGGGTCCCTGGCTCGGGAGGGAGCCCTGCCCCGGGCTGGCAGCTCGGCATTCCCCTGGCGCTGCAGTTTTTGGCGGCTGTCACAATCAGCTGCATCTCTCCAGCGCTGCCTGTTGCTGTGACAAGTTCCCGGGGGTGTGCCCCAGAATGTGTCCCCCTCTTTGTCCCCAGACAGCCCCTTGGGAGCTGCCCTCCGTGCCAGGGCAGCCTGAAAAGCTTTAACAGCCTCATCTCTCGGTGAAAACAAGCTGGGCTGAGCGTGTTGGCACAATGGTGGCATCAGCTCTGAGAGGAAGAAAAAATCAGGGTCAGGCCTGGGGCTGCTGGCGCTGGGTTTTGTGCTGTGCATCAAGGAAAGCAGCAGTGCAATGTGATGTGTGCTGGGCTTGGAGAAGGTGCCTGAAGGGGGAAAAGCTTTGAACAAGCATCAGGCAGAAAGTTGGAGCCTCTGGATGAGGTTTGTGAAAGGGCAAGAGCCGTCAAACAGGGCCCTGCAAGGAACTGGGATTAATTAATTCCCTCCTCGGTGGTGTGGGGCAGATTTGGGGTGTGGATCTGGGATGTACCAACACGTGGGGCTGAGATGTGGTCAGTGCAAGCAGAGTCCTGTTCTCCAGCCTCACGAGGCTGTGACAGCGCCTGTGGGGCAGGGGAGAGGTCGGGAACAGCAGTTCCCATGATCCTGAAGAGATTCCCTCCAGGAATCTGGCCATGGGTAATGGACATGGTGGCAGCAGGCACACACAGGTGGCACAGAAATCTCAGTGCATTTGTGGTGTGGAGCATCCTTTCCTCCCTAGAAAAAGGTGGGAGGGATGTCCAAGAGTCCCAGAAGGAAGAGGCAGGAATAGGAAGGCACCTGGCCCGCCCCATCCATGGAATTTCCTCAGTGTGTGAGGCACCCAGCTCAGAGTTTGCTGATTTCCAGGCTCTCTGTCACGCCAGAAGATTTCTGAGCAAGTTTTGGTGTCCGTGCTCTAGGCAGGGCTCGCAGATTTGGTCCCAAGTTCCCAGGCTTACTCACTCACTCATGCTGGAAAATATCAGTACCACGTCCAAATGGGAGCAGTTAATGAATGAGTAGTGGAACAGCCTCGCCAGAAATCCTGGGAGTTCCTCCTCTCCCATCCTGCTGGGATAGAGAGAAAGAGAGAAAAAAATTACAACTAATCAGGGCTCTGGAGATCTCCCCCTGTCCATGGCCTTGCCACGGATTCTGCCTGGCCTTGGCCACGTCACCACCGTGTCCCCACGTCTGAGTTCCCCCATCTGGTAACTCCTGACCTTGCTTTGTTCTCAGGGCTTTGCTCCCTGAGCTCTGCAGAGCCTGGGATGCTGGCAGGGATGGGAAGCACTGAATCCTCATCTCCATGCCATGGAGGCCCCTTTCACTGAGGCAGCTCTTTGTGGAGCCCTGAATGGACCCTTCAGAGAGGCTGTGCTGGTGACAGAGTGACAGAGGGAAGGGATGGTGTCACACATTGCTAGTTACAGGTGGCTGAAGTGCAGCTGGCTGCTTTTTATTGGCTTCCAAATGAGCTGCTTTAAATCTTGAGCTGCTGCCTCTCGTGCGCATTCCTTGCCAGTGTCACTTGTCCCCTGGGGACAGGCTGGGGTGCACAGGGTGCTGCAGGGGACAGTTTTTGCCTTCCCCCACTGGCACTGGACCCAGAGCAGGCAGATGGGAGCAGCTGCATTTTGCACAGGGGTAAAACACAGAGGCAAAATGGCTCAGGGTGCTACAGGGAGCTCAGCTGAGTTTTGATCTCCAAAATCCATGAGGATTCTTCCATTTTCCCTGTCCCACCAGCTGGTCAGGCAGAACCCTGGGTGTCCACTCACCACGTGCATTAAAATATCCACGTTGCAGTTTCTACTGAGACCATCATCCCCTCGGTCCGGCCTTCTGAGAGAAATGAATGTTTGGTCAATGCCTGTAAACCCTGGGACATTCCTCTGGCTTGCACAGAGCTGAGGTTTGGGCCAGGAGGGCTGAGAATCTCCAGAAAAGCTGGGATCTGTTTGTTTGGAGTCATGTCCAAGAAGAGTAAGAGTTTCCAAAAGGGCTTAGGCTCAGTAGGAGCCTCCCAGATTCTCCTTCCATCCTCAGGGAAATCGAGGCAGCTTCTTCAGGCAGCAGGGCAGGGGAGCTTGGCTCAGCTCAGAGGAGATCCCAAGCCTGGAGCGAGTTCTGCTCTAATTCATGTGCTGACACCCCAAAAGCTCAGCTCAGCTGGGCTGGGTTTGCCTCTGTGCAGGCAGGGAAGCGATGAGAGGGCTCTGTTGGAGAAGGGCTTTTGCTGGCAGTGAACCCTGTCCAGGCAGAGCTTTGCCCTGCCGGGTTTGCTTTCCTCTAAATCCACTGGCTCCTGCTGTTTGTCCAGGAAACCTGATGGCAGGAAGCAGCCTGTTGATGGATGTGGCCCAGATCCCAATCTGGTGAACAATTAACTTTGCAGAGTAATCAGCCCGAGCATCTTTTGCCCTCTCCCAACCTCCCAGCCCAGCGTTCCTTCCAAGGCAGCAGCGTTTTGCCCACAGCCAGTGCTGCTCATCTGCTGCTTGTTTGCTCAGTCGCTCCCAATCTCTGGCTCCTATCTCTTGTCTGGCTGGAAGAGAAACTGCTGCTGGGATGATTTTCGAGGCACGGAGCAGTGTGGGAAGCCCTGGCACAGAGGGCTGGGGTTCATCTGTGCTGCTGCCACCGCTGTCACCTCTCATCTGTCTGCTCGTCCTTCACCTCCCTCCCTCCACGCAGCTCCTTCCAAGCCCAGCCTCAGACCTTTCCCTTTCCTCCTGCTTTTCCCTGCTCTTTTAGGGATGAGCTCCAAGCCACCACAGGATTTTCCCAGCCGCATTCCCCACCGGGAATTGCCCACATCTCTTCCTGATCCCTGCTGGAGGTCTGGGTGTTCCTTCCCACACCTGAGCAGGGGCTCTGGGTGCGGAGTGCAGCTCCAGGGGGAGGCAGGACCTGCGGGGATGCAGCTCGGGAAGCAGGAGGATGCTCCAGGCACTCGCTCCAGCGAGCTGGATCCCGCTGCCAGCACCAGCAATTCCACTTTTGGTTGTGGCTTTTGTTTTCTGCCACCCCAGGGGTGCTGGGGGCAGGAATAACTTGGGAAGTGTTCAGAGGGGGGTGTCTGAGCTGCTGTTTGCAAGGATTGCTGCTTTTTGGGATCCAGGAGCACTCAGATGGGACATTTCGGGGATCTCAGCTGGGTTTGTTTCCTTTTCCTCGCCCTGTGTGGGTTCAAACCAGGGACAATTCCTCGTTTGTCACCGTGACCCCTCCATCCCTGGGGCCTGCAGGCACTGCCACAACAAAAATCACAAACTGAGTGGCAAATTCCCAATCCAGAGCTGTCAGAGCTCGGTCCCTGTCACCTCTGCTGGGACACCTGGGTCACCTGAGCTGCTGCTGAGGTGCAGAGAGGGGGAAAACAGGAGGGAGTGGGGTTGGAATCGCTGCCCTTTCCTGAGTGCCTGGGAAGGGAGAGCTCCTGTGGGCTGCTAATGAGGACACTCCAGTTAATGGCATTTTCAGTTCGTTATTTTGTTAGTTTTTAATTTTTTCATGTTTTCCCTTATTAATTTTATTGGTGACACCCAAAAGTTCCACCCTTGCACCGCCCTTGTCATCTTCATTTATCAGCTGAGAAACTGAGGCACGGAGTTTATTCCTGGGGTTGGGAAAATCCCATCACTGGCAGCTCTGGATCTCAGCCCTGAGGCCTAAAACTCTCTCCAGGATGTGTTGGTCTGAATCAAACAGCTCCTGTCTCGCTGTGCTCTGGGTTTTATGAATTTAATTCATCTTTTGGGCACCTTCTCAGTGTTTTTATTATTGAAGCCTCTCCATGAACCCTCTCCCTCTCTTCCTTCCCCATCTCTGAAATCCTCAGCCATTTCCTTTAAAACAACCCAAATTTTCCCAGCTGCAGTGGGGCAGGGCACTGGCTTTGAGCAGTTTTCTGAGGTGATTTTGCCTTGAATCGTTCCATTTAAAAGGAGAGGCTGCTGAAGCCAACCATAAACACTGAAACCCCCAAAGAAATCAAAATGTGCCTTTTTTGGGAAGCAGGAAAACATTCCCAGCGTTCCTTATATTTCTGCTCTGTCTCCATTTTTATTTTAATGGTTTATTTTCTATTAATTATTCAGGTAGCATTTATGTGCTGGTCACTCAGGGGCTGGGATTCCTGATTCTGGGGGGATTTATCCTCAAAACACCCCCAGCTTTTCCCTCTCTCCTGTTGCTCCCAGCACTTCCCACTCTTGGAGCCGTGGCTTTTTTTAGTTGCTAAATCTGACAAGGTTTGTGAGCAGGAGCCTCGATTCTGCACTCGAGAACACGCACAGGAATATAAATTCAGCATTTTGAGAGGTTTTTTTCCTGCATTCCAGCATGGAACATCACCTGGAGCTTGGATTTATGCCATCTATGACTGGAATTATTGGGTGGAAAACCTTTTAGGCTGGTGGTTTATGGGCCAAGCC